GCCTCCCAGAGTGCTAGGATTATGCTTTATTTCTTTTTAATTATCTGCAGATGTGGCAGAAGATCGAGGACGCCGAGTGGAGACCTCAGACATACTTGGAGTTGGAGGGCCTGCCCTGCATCCTCATCTTCAGTGGGATGGACCCGCACGGGGAGTCCTTGCCGAGGTGAGCAGAGGGGCCTTATGCCCCCGGCAGTCTTCGAGGGGCCAGCTTCCTGGGCCCCAGCTGGGGCAAGTGTGCCAGACTGGGCGACCGCTGACTGACTGCAGGTGGTGCCATTCACACTCATAGGCCTCGTGGGTTGTTTGTTTATTGTGACAGTTTCCCAGCAGAGGGCAGTGAAATGCGTCTGAGCCACAAGCAGCTTTTCTTGATTCTCAGAAGGGCCCTGTTTGGGCTCATCCAGGGGCTATTGCCGGCTGCGTGGGTGGAGGCCCTGCAGCCAGAGTTAGGATTTCACGCCTCCCGAGCTCAGTTTCCCCACATGGAGCTGGCTGTGTGTGTTGGGGAGGGCTGACTGCATTTAGCACAGGATTGCACCATCTCCAGGGCTCGGAGCTGCAGTCGTTGCTGGCACCTACGCCGCTGCAATGGGGTCCCACCGGGCTTATGAGGTGTTCTGGGAAGGGGGACAACAGCTGCTGCTTGGGAAGAGCTGGTTCTTCCAACACAAAGAGGGGACTGTCTCAAAGGCTGTGTTCCTCTGAAGCTATCACAGCCGTGGAGATCTCAGCCACACCATCCACTCAGTGTCCCCTGGTGGCTTCTAGGCCTCCACACAGACAGGTAGCCACTCAGGACAGGAGTCCCTGGACCTCCTAGAAGGCAATCACTTGGATTAGTAGTGACAGGTTGGCTTTCAAAGACTTACCCGTGGGGGAGGGCAGGCAGCAGGGCCTTTGCACATCTGTGTTGTGTAACAGGATATTAAGAGCTGATGTTGATTGAGTTCCTGTTAGGTGCTGGGCACTGTCCTAGATTCTTCTTATATGCTTTGTTTCATTTTATTCTCACCTTAACCCTGGGGAAAGGTAGCATTTCAGTAGTCCCATCTTACTGATGAAGAAACTGAGGCTTACTGAGAGAAGCTGCCGGTAGCTTCTTCCCACTGGGCTTCACCACACTCAAACAAGTGGCATTGTATGTGCTGCGTGCTCATGGGCAAGTTAAGGGAGGCTCCGGAACATTTGACCTTGGTTGTTGCTGTTTCACATGGATTAATTCTTCTGTTCCTCAACTCCTTAAAGGACTAAGAGAATGTCTTAATCTATTTAAAATTTTAGCATTTACTGAGTACCTTCTTTGTACCAGGTACTGCGGTCTGTGCCAGTCTTTTAACACAGCACTTGCTCTGTGCAGCAGTGTCATTACTGTCCTGTTTGTCATTACCGTTGAGTAAACAAAGGTCACTTACCTAACGTTACATGAGCAGTAAGTTGCAGAGCCCGATTGGAACCCACATCTGCCTCCTCTAAGCCCTGGGCTTTCCTGGTGTTTCTATTTCAGGACCCCGGGGAGTTCCTTCCTCTGCTGCTCACAGATGTCATTCCTTGTTGGTGTCACCTCGATTGCCATCCTATCCCAGTATCTAATATCCCGGCACATGTTAAATGTTGATTTAATAATTAAATGCCTAGTTATTGCATTTAGTCTTCACAACAATGCACTTAGATAGCCATTATACGTTTCCATCTTTCAGGTGGAAAAAATCGAAGCCTCAGAGAAGTTGTGCAGCTTGTCAAAATTTCCATCACTAGGAAGTGGCAGAGCTGGGCTTCAGGCCCCGCTTTTGTCTGACCCGGAAGTCAGTGCAGCACAGGACTAAGTACACTGCAGGTGCCCCCAGAGCCGCTGGCCTTCCCATTTGCATGCGTCCCGGGGTCCTAGCGAGGAAGGCAGGGTGTGGTTCTGATCACCGCTGCCTTCAGCACCACAAGCAGCGCCTCATCTGTCGGAGGCACGCGATAAATGCCTTCCTCTGTGTCCCGCTAGGTCTTTGCGCTACTGTGACCTGCGTTTGATAAACTCCTCCTGCTTGGTGAGAACAGCCTTGGAGCAGGAGCTGGGCCTGGCTGCGTACTTTGTGAGCAGCGAGGTCCCCTTGGAGAAGGGGGCTGGGAACGAGGCCTTGGAGAGTGACGCGGAGAAGCTGAGCAGCACCGACAACGAGGACGAGGAGCTGGGGACGGAAGGTGAGGGGTGGCCTGGCCCTCAGCGAGGAGTTCCTGCCGGCACATCTTCCTCGGCTTCTGATCTCTGAAGCCGCCTGTCTTGTGTAGACAGCTGTCGGTGGGCCTGGCTGCTTTCCCCTGGGCCACAGCGCACTTCAGCAAGCGGCACTGTGCGTGCTGCCTGCTCACGGGCCACGTAAGGGAGCTCCCGGGGCGTTTGATCTCAGTCCTTGCTAATTTGACGGCAGCAGCTCAGCAGGGTCCTGGGCCTGGCCGCTGGGCAGCCGCTCGGGGACGGAGTTATCTGGTCTCTGATGAGGGAGATGGCAGAGCCCTCGCTGAGTTCAGATCTGGCTCCCTCCCCCTTCTTTTCTGGTGGTGTGAGAAGATGGAAATCCCCGTAGATTCTTCCTCATTCTAAAATTCTTAAAGAATAGGAAGAACAATTGAGATTTCTTAGAGTTCAAGTCCATGCTTTATATTGGTGGTGGAATCCAACCTGGTGTCAGATTTGCTTATTTCCTCTGTGACCCAACAGTGCACTGTGCGTTACTGAGATTTGTGAAAACAGGCCAGTTTCGTTTGCAGACTCTTAAAATCTGATGCCGTATTTTTAATAGGGACGCAGGAATGAGAACATTGCAAGGCAGTTGGCTGTAGTCAACAGTGTGGTGAGAAAAAATAAAAAGCCAATAATGCAATCAATACAAAGCAGTTGTGGAGTGTGGCAGGGCAGGAAGAGATGGACGTGGTCACAGCCCAGGCCTGTAGTCGCCCTCTGTCTCCCGACTGTGGGAACCCTCCTAGCCTCAGCTTGCTCGTCTGTAAAACGGGGCTGGAGAGACCTGCCCGCCCATGGCCATCTTTCAGAGACACCGTTGCAAGCCTCATACGAGACGCTCCCACTTCCCTGGTGCTGCGGCACGACTCCCCGGCATCTCACGGCCCCCCTGTAGCTTCACTGCACCTCTCGGCCCCCAGCCCCTGCCCGGTGTACTTGCCCACACCAAACTCACGGTGGTGGCCGGGCCGCCCTCCTCACCTGTGGGCTGTGAGGCTGCTCTTCCCGCTGGGTGGGGTTCTCCTTTCTTCGTTTCACCCGGGAGCCCCTGTGCCCTTCAGAACCCGGGCCAGACGGCACCACTTGCAGCAGTTCTCCCTGCTCCTGCCTCTGGGCTCCCAGGCCCTGTCCTGACCTCGTCCACCCTCTGTGGCTGCCCTCACTGGCCTGTCTGCTCAGTGCAGGGTGCCTGGGGAACAGCAGAGGAATGAACGAGTGGATGGAGAGACGATACGTGTGAATGCATGTTACAAACTGTAAAGTGCCTGGCAAACATAAGGGACGGTGATTACGACGCATCTTCAGTGTGTGTGTTTTGAAACAGGCTCCACCTCGGAAAAGAGAAGTCCCGTGAAAAGGGAGCGATCCTGTTCCCACGACTCCGCGTCCTCGTCCGTCTCCTCCAAGGCGTCCGGTGAGTCTCCCTACAACTGTTTTCTGAGGGTTTAGAGAGTGAAAGGAAACGTGTGTAGGGCTGTTTGCTGACCCTTCATTTTTCCATCGGAGCTGGGAAGAGAAGGAAGCTGTGAAGACCCAGATGCACTGGAGGGTCAGTGTTTCCGGGAACTTGGCATCTGGGACCTTGAGGCCTCTGGGCAGAGCTGAAGGGCTCAGCCGCCCCGTTCTCAGGGGACGGCCATGGGCTCTGCCCCTCGCCGTGGCTGGGCCGCAGGCAGAGTCCTGGCCGTGCTCGGGGACTCCCTCAGGCCTCCCCATGAAGCTGTTGAGTCGGGAAATCACTCTGCCCTGGGGAGGGGCGTGAGGATGGGGTGTTCTTGTTGAGAGAAGTAGACACCAAGACTTCGTTGGGGAGAAGCAACAAAAGGCAGCAAGAGCACATGACCCTCGCCCGGGACTGCGCTTCGGCAGAGGGCGTGGGCGGTGTGTGTAAAAGGCCTCGCGTGGCCTCTGCTCGGAGGGGTCCCTTGGTCTCGAGAGCAGTCAGGACCTGTGTAGTTGAAACAATGTCCCCTCTTCCTGCCAAAAGCATTTATCGAGAGCCTCCTTTATATCTGAGTCGGGGCATTGAAAGATAAATGAGACACAGACCGTGCCTCAAGGAATTTATCATTCTCAGTAGTTTTTCACGCACATGAAGCGTTAGGTTGCACATATGAAGATGTAATTAATTCTGTCCCAAGTGGAGGGCAGACTCCGGGATGGGTGTGGTCACCCTAGGTTTCAGAGAGCAGCTGACCTTGCCTGGGCTTTGGAGAAGGAGTTCCAGGTGGAGGAAACCTCACGGGCAGAGAGAGGCCTGGGGCATGAGCGTGTGCAGGGCCTGGACGCAGGGAGTGGTCTAGCGGTGGCCGTCCACCCTGCGGGTGGGGGCCTGGCTGTGGCTGGGCGGCGGCTAGGAGTCCATGCTGTGTGGTCTGGGGCGAGGGGAGGTCAGAGCCCCCCAGGAGATTTGGCCTGGGGGCATCCAGGGCAGCCCGTGAAGGGCAGTGAGGCCCCCAGGCAGTGGGGCCTCCCCAACAGATAGCCCTGATGGGGTCAGCACGGGCCTCCTTAGCCAGGCCTGGAGCTCTGTGATTGAAGGAAGCTCCGACTCACAGGCTCAGGGTCGGTCAGAAAAGCCTGACACTATGGCCACCAGTATCTGTTTGCTCGAAACAGCACAGGGAGCCCAGGGCAGAGATGGGAGTGGCAGAAACAGGAGCAGCCAGTGCCTTCTGGCCAGGTCATCCCCGGGATGTGCCCGACCAGGTCCGTCTCTCCCCAGGCTCAGCACTCCTCGGCGAGGCCTCGGCCCAGCCCACGGGGCCTCCCCAGGTGGAGCAGGCCAGGTCGCCCCAGCCCTGCGGCCCTTCAGAAGAGGGCAGGGCCCCTAGTGAGAAACAGAGGCCCCGAGCGGGTCAGGGGCCACCATCAGTCGTCAGCAGGCACAGCCCCGGGCTGGCCCCCCAGCCTGACTGCGGCCTCAGGCCCGGCCAGAGGAGCGTCCAAGTGTTGGCCACCTCGTCGTCCTCCCAGCTGTCCTCCTCAGGCTCGTCCTCCTCGTCTGTGGCGCCTGCTGCAGGCATGCTGGTCCTGCAGGCCTCCCAGTGCTCCATGACCAAGGCCTGCCGGCAGCCACCTGTCGTCTTCCTGCCCAAGCTTGTGTACGACATGGTCATGTCCACCGACGGCAGCGGCCTGCCCAAGGCCGCCTCGCTCCTGCCCTCCCACTCGGTCATGTGGGCCAGCTCCTTCCGCCCCCTGCTCAGCAAGACGATGACATCCACGGAGCAGTCCCTCTACTATCGGCAGTGGACGGTGCCCCGGCCCAGCCACATGGACTATGGCAACCGGGCCGAGGGCCGTGTGGACGGCTTCCACCCTCGCAGGCTGCTGCTCAGCGGGCCCCCGCAGGTGGGTGCCCCCGCACAGCCCCCCAGCGCCAGCTTCATGCTCAAACCTGGAGGCAGGCTTAGGGCGGGCAGTATCCACTTCTCATTTTGCCATTCCCGCGGTGGGATTTTCTCTGATGGCCCAGGGTGGGCAGGTGGGAGCTGGGTGACTTCCATGTCTCCATTGTGTGATGTGGGGGAGGGAGGGGAGACATCTCTGGCCGCTGCTTCTGCCTTCAGGCTACAATTCTGCATCCCGTGTTATATCATGTGGCCCCTGTGTGCTGTGCACACTCTCTAACGATTAGAAACATGACTCCTGGTTCTGCTCTGGAAGGTCTGGTGACCTGTTAACAGGAGGTGGGGGCTCTGCTTCCCCTTCTCAGCCCTCCCCAGCTCATGGCAGTTCCCTAACAAGCAAAGTCCAGTTCACCTCTCAGAGCAGCAGAACCTCCGGGGCGTGAGTGTCCAGAGTGGTGCGTGAGGAGGAGGAGGAGGAGGGGGAGGAGGAGGAGGAGGAGGACTGTGGATCGGACTTGGCTCTTTGGACAGAGCAGAGGCTGGGAGCTGGGCTCTAGGCTGCTCTGCTTCCGTATCCATCTGCGTTTCTTGAGCTTGTAAGATGAGCATGTATCACTTTTTCTAATTGAAAAAAAAATGTAAAAAAAGAAAATGTTTCTTAACAGAGAGTCTCCATTGCTCCTCATGTTGGATTGGATGTTAGCAATCTTTAAACTTTTTGCCTGTTTGATAGGTGAAAAATAGTATATTTTTATTAGTAAGATTTAACATATTTTTACATATTTCTCGGTCGTTGGCATTTTTCAGTGATTTTTCTGGCTGTTTCTCTTGTTTGCTTTTTCTTTAGACCATTTGGCCTTATTGATTTGTGGGAGCGCTTTAGATATTACAGATTTTCGTCCTTTGTTTATTAAGTGTATTGCAAATAGTTTTTCTGAAGCCCACCCCCCCCCAGTTGTATGTCATACTTTCCTCTTTAAAGTTAGTTTTTTCCATTCATTAACATTTGCTGAGTTTCTGGCTATGAACCGGCACCGGGCTCTGTACTTGGAAAGAGCATCCCTGGAGTGACTGTCACGGGGCGGGTGCGGGGAGGATCCCAGGCTGGCACACGGGTACTTCTTTAAGTCAGTTATAACCAAAAGGAATGAGGATTAGGAGTAAACATGCTGGCCTGGTGCTGGGCTGAGGGCACAAGGGGCTCTGTGACACAGGAAGAAAGAGAAGGAAGAAGAGAAAAGTGAGTCTTTCTTTTCCTGGGTTTAGGAGGAGAAAAATGAGATGCCAACTTTTTATGTGTTGTGCAATGAATTGTATTATCTTGCTATAGACGTATCAAGAGCGATTTGCAATTTTCAAGACTCTTAAGACATCGTGTTTTATGTTGTTGGTGCATTTTTTTAAGAAACCTTTCTTCAGCTTGGGATAAAGTCCTATTTCTAACAGCTTAATGACCATGAGTGGTTCAAATCTGGAGGTGCATCTGCAATGACGTATAAGCAGGCAGGCCTCCTGCTCTTGGGAGTCCATCTGTCCGCCCACCAGGCTCCTTGAGGCCACATTTCCCCTCCGCTGTCTGTGCATCCACGGGCTCTCGTTTCAACGGCGGGATGTGTAGGCGAGGCGGATGGCGTGAGGCGCGAAGGTGTTCAGCCTGCGCCTGGCCGTGGACGGGGCTCCTAACCCCGGGCTCTAATGCCCCCGTCTCCGCAGATCGGGAAGACGGGCGCCTACCTGCAGTTCCTCAGCATCCTGTCCAGGATGCTCATCCGGCTGACGGAAGTGGATGTTTACGACGAGGAAGAGATCAATATCAGTGAGTTATCTGCTTGGTGCCACTTGGGCGTCCAAGCCCTTCATCACTTTCTCAAGTGCCTTTCATTGTGTCGCACTTTCTGGATGGAATCCTCAGATTCACGATCAGACTCGTCTCAGGGCCTGGGAGGGCTGCTGTTTATTCTTTCCTTGTAGTCTTCTTTCTCAGCACCACCTTGGTACCTCAGAGGCCTTCGTGGGGATAAGATTACGGAAGTAATGGCTACTGAGCACCTTCCGTGTGTCAGGCACTGAGCTAGATACTTTACGTAAATTACATAAAATGTAAAGCTAGAGACTTTACATAAGCCCCCTATGCCACACCGTGAGATTGACATTGTTATTCCCCTTTCCTGATAGGCCGTGTGCTCAGGAGCCAGGCCGGGGGGTGGCACAGCTGGAATTGAACTAGAGGTGACTGTTGTCTCTAGAAAGCAGACCGCCCCTCAGTAGGTTTCCTACACGGGCAACTGAGCACCTAGGTCCATGTCTCGGGGCAAAGTAGGAGATGACAGCTCCGTGCATGTTACTGCCCCTGAAGACCTTCCAGTGGGACGAGATGGGGAGGGGGAAGACAGTGATATCGATGATTCTGCCCCTGTGTAGGCCCAGGCTAATGCGTATGTTTGTGCCTTAGTTTTTAACAAAAAGTTTAAAAAGTAAAA